CTTAATAATAGACTTCACTGTGCTTTGCAGCATTAATAAAGCCTTTGAATTTTTTTGTATCTGTCTATGCCTGTCCACAACTTTATCTTGGAAAACGTTTTGTGCCTTGCCACCCATAGATGATTGTTTGCTTCAGTTGCACAACCAGGGACTGAAATGCTCCAGGAAAGTTCTCATGCTGAGCTAATCAAAATGGCCACAGCTGATCACAGTTGAAAGTCAAATGGCTTTGTGTGCTATTGAGACGGTGATTAGCTATACCTGATTGAGTTTACAAGTCATATTTAGGAGGGGTGATCCTTTTTCCAACTCGGTGATTCTGTTTTTGAATTTTTAACAAAATGTTCTGACAAGTTGGTTTTATATCCTTCACTTGGATTCTATAAGTTGTACATACAGCTGGATAAAACAAAAATGGTATCTGTCTTCATTTCTGGCTGCAAAGCAACAAAATTTGATTATTTTAAAGGGGGTGAATCTTTTCTATACCCTCTGTATATTGGTCCAGCTTAGACCAATGTAAGTATGAATATATCATACCTTGCCAATCCCCCTGGAAAAGCTGGGACCCAAAAGCTAGTGGAGATCACTCTAGTAGTGGTTCCTACTACAGTGATTTTCCCCTTACATATGGATCATTCAGGTACAGTACTGTATATGTAAGGTTACATTGGTTCAAGCTGGATCAACATAACTATGTAAAAAAATCCATACAAGAAATTCATCTTTAACATTACTTCTGTGAGCAAATGGGAAATTAGTTTTTAGTTCTTTAGCATCTAGCATAAATTAAAATACTTTTGGATGGACTGACAGTTTAATTGCACAGACTGTACAGGTAGTATGACTACCTTAGTATCAGGGCTGCTTCTATCATGACGGAAGGCTATTTTTTTTTATCATAGACTAAGTCTTGTAGAAAGGGAAATGAGATAAGCTTTTTACCTTATGGCCACTCATGTGAGTCTGACTGCTACTAACTGAAATGTGCAGGGATGCAGGATATGTATTTTTGCACTCTTCTAATAGTTTAACTGCTAGGACATTTGGGATTGTGTGTTGACAGGCTTGGTGTTAACCAGAAGGCAGATTTATTTCTAGGTCTATGCTACCCCTTTTTTAGTGCTCTCTCAGGAAGCATAATCAACATGAAGCATCTTGCCTCCAATGAGTTTGCATACATCTGGAACCTTGGCCAGTCAAAATCACATGACACCCTCTGACATCACAACATATAGCTGTTGTAGTATCATCACTTGTGTCCCTGTTACATAGATAAAGGGTTAACTAAGCATTTTACAAGATACCATTACAGCAATTCCTGACCAGTGCTGTATATGTTAGAAAAGTGATATATGTCACAATAAAAAACTGAATGTTTTCTGCAAGGAAGAGCTAGGGAGTTGTTTCTATGGAGACAACAGAAATGCACTTTGCAGAAGATTTATGTTAGCTAAACTCTGTACAACTACGATTTACAATTGAAATGCTTTCTAACCTTTTGTTTTAGTAATTAAAGTACTTTCAAAGAATTATCTTCCTTTCCCACTGGTCACATCCCCAGGAATTAATTTCCACCAAAAATCATTATGTAGACACACTCATGTCCATACCTGTGGGGGTTGTAATATATTACAGGTCTCTGTAGGAGACACATTATATGTGACATTGCATACATGGCTTCATGGTGTGGTTTGAGTTACTTTGTAATGCTCCACTTATCATTCCAGCAGAGAGAGAAATAAGGCAACCTTACCCTAAAGACCTTCAAGAAAAATCATTGTAAGTTCCACTGCAAATGTTAACATATTAAAGTTCAATAGAAAATAAGGTATCTACACTGCCATATAACCAATACTTTCTATGCACTTAATCACATTTTATGCTGTGCTGCTGTAAGATGTCTGAAATACAACTGAGCACATTATGTCCAACAATATAAAATTCTGCTATCCCCAAAAAAGATTCTATTCTGATAACTATGTAATACATTAAAGTATATTTAAAGCATTACATTACAAATATAAGTAAAGTTTTAGCTAGAATAAAAAATGGTTAATACCCCATGACAGTTTTTTTGCCATCTGTGTCATATGGTGGAGATTTTAAATTAATTCTTGTTCCCCAGACAAAACAGAAAGTAAAAAGATATCTCTCTAAATGTGGGGGACATGCTTTTAGACAATTGCCATTGCAAACGTTTCCCCATTGAAATATTTCCCCTCTATTTCTGTTCTGGAGGCAACTCAAGGTATTAGGACAAATAGAGGGAGAGATTCACCCCAAATGGGAAACAGGCGGCAAAAGAAACTTGACAAGATTGCTAAACTTCCCCACCTCTAACCAAACAAAAAAATAAATAAAAAATTGGCCTTAGGCAGGCCATAAAATATATGATGAGATTTTCTTTCCTGTGACCACAGCTTGCAGAAAAGAAAATCGCTCGATTCCCCCATCAAGACAGTCAGTGTTGATGGGGGAATCCCTCTCACAGAGCTATTGTGTTCTCCAGGAGAGGGAAGTGGGGGAGAACATAGTCATTACTGCTAGTGGCCATAATAGCTGCTGGCAATAATCACATGTGAAACCTGACATGTTGGGTGTACTCAAGTCATACAACAGTCAACTTGGGTACAATCAGCCTGCCCATAGATGGTTCAAATCTCAGTTGGTCCCTGTTGAAGTAACCAATATTTGAACCATCTATGACTGGCTTTAGATATACTAGATGTATTATACTAGATGATACAGTACATATATAAGCTACCTTTGAGCAGATGTAGTACGTTATGTCAGAATTGTCACTGTGAAGACTGAATATTAGCCTGAATAATGACAGAGGGGTGTAACTCAGCTGGCTATGCTAGAAAAATAATACATATTTAACGCTCATAATTATTCAGCCTAGAAGTCTGAGGACATACATCAAATGCAGAGCATCACAATGGCACCCTTCATTTATAGTGCATTAAAACAGAGAGTGGCACTGAAGTCATGTCAAAGTCAATCTTTGCATTAGCCCCAAGCCAAGGAAGAGTCAAAGAAGTCAAAGGCCCAGAGCATGACATGACTTTCAATGATTTTATTTCCAGCATCTGTCTAAAACACAAATATCAGATTTTGGTGGACTGACTCTTTAACTCTGTTGGTTGCTTTAAGCAAATGCCATATCCAAATACCATTTGTGTATATATGAATCTAGTTGGGGGCTTTTTATTCATACATTTTTTTGTCACCTTCTTCTGCAATGTTTATTGTCCAAAAAGTATTATTAGTTTTTGACTGGTCTCTAAAGTTTGATGCTGGTTCAACAGAAAATATAGACATTATACCCATGTGACTGGTTTATAGGGAATAATGAGATCATAACTCTGAGACTAATGTGATGATATCATCACAACTGCACTAGGGATTGAGATAGGTTAGTAATATATGATCTCCCTCCAAGTAAAAATAATTGGACCTAGTCAATAAGGAAACACAAACATGAATAAGGATGTGAAAAGTATAGATTCCATAGCACCCAACCACATATAAATGTAGTCATATCAGGAAAGAGATTTTTTTGCTGCCATGGGATACTGCATTTTGTAATATCTAAATAAGTTTGGAGGAATGCATTTATTTTCCTTTAAAAAACGTACAGTCTTTAGGGATTAAAAAAAAAAACTTGTTAATCCACAATGATTTTCTTTCTATGTTCTCTGCTCACTGTATGACAAAGCATAATGAATACTAATGTGTCTTAATCCTCCAAAATAGAATGACCATTAAAAACTGAACAATAACTTCAGCCATTTTGAAGGAAACTGTTTGCATAATCGCTTTCTATGTCAATTGAAAACAACAAGCACTGGCTCTTGTTGACTAAAAACAGCATGTGGAACAAAAGGAGTCAGGTCACCATGTATTTAAATTGCTCTTCTCATTCACTGAAGTGCTAATGTGATTAAAATGCACTCCATAAGTCACTCTGTCCCTGATTAGAAGTCCAGCATTTACTAACATGTCACTGTGAAGGGTATATATTAGGGAAAGCAACAAAAATGATGTTGCATGACCTCCTATCTCCTACTGAGCAATGCACTGCAGGACACATACACCAGCTGTTCCAACAGCTGCCCATTGAAGGTGGACCATGTAAAAATAGGGGACATCAAGAAGGGAAGTGAACAGGTTGTTACATATCATTTAAATAATACAACATAGGCTTTTTATTTAAAATCTAGCCGTGTTTATGCAAATTAACCATTTCAAACATCAAATAAAGGTTACACCTAGAAAAGGACATGTGGTAGAAATGATTGCTTGTGAATTGAGCACCCAACATTTTCTTTTCACAAAGAAGAAAATCATACTTTTGTTGAAAGGTTTAACAAAAACAAACTTGAAGTAGCACAGGCAAATTGCAAAGTTGAACCTTTACAATTATTCATATGACTTTTCCTTTGAGATTTTCTATCAAGTTCATCAGAAACAAATCACTAGAAGAGAAATATTTTGAAAAAGCGTAAAAGCTTTAATTATCTCTGACATCTGCTTGGCATCTTCAGTGATTGGCACTGCATTCACTATAGATGTTAAGAATGGCATAATGCATCCAGTGAACTATTTAATCAGTGTCAACAGAGAAAAGATGTTCATTAGCAATACATTTTCTTTTTTTAGCCTTGTTGATTATACGTCCTTGTAATTTACAAATATTGCACAATTTTGTATATGAATTCCTATAAAATAGGTTTCTAAAATGTTTATAAACAGTTCAAGTACTGTTATGCTAGGCATTGCTACTACTCAACACTTTCATTGGTAGTCAGATAGCGTGTCCCCCATCAGGCACTATGGTTCTTCTTGCCAATTCATATGTAATTTGAAAATTTAACTCACCACCAGGGGCGGACTGACAACTCATGGGGCCCCCGGGCAATAGGGGATCATGGGGCCCCTGTGTCCTTGCCCAAACTCAAAAAAGCCTATGAAAAAGGTACCAGGGGCATCTCACGGGGCCCCCTACTGACCCCGGGCCCTCGGGCAGTGCCCAAGTTTCCAAATGGTCAGTCCGCCCCTGTTCACCACCCACTAGATCAGTGGTCTCCAAGTTTTAAAAATAAAGTGCCAGATTATGATCCCTTAGACTTTAGGAGGGCTGTACTGTGGCCAATGAGAGTAGAAAACGCCCCAGCATCAGTGGGAGTGAACAATGTCTTAGAGTTTATGGTATGTAGGAGGAGGAATAGTGCCCCATTATTGATATTAGTGTGAGAAATAGTGCCTCACCATTGGTGTCAGTGGGAGGAATAGTTTCCTATTGTTGGTGTCAGTGAAAGAAATGGTATCTCATTGTAGGTGTCAGTGAAAGGAATAGTGTCTCATTGTAGGTGTCAGTGAAAGGAATAGTGTCTCGTATCACTTGGAGTAACAGTGCAAACAGAAATTGTATGTCTTTATTTTTCCATAGCACATCATAGGGTTATTCACCTTATTTACTAAGCTAAGAAAAGAAAACATTCACTTTGATAAGGGAATACATCTTGCTCCTTTAGTAAAGAAAACATGGCTGAGCTGCACTTTTACTGCCCACCAACCGATACCCCCTTTAGCAACAGAGGCAGCAGCTAGGAGTGTACACATGCCACGACCAGGATACTATGCTTCACAGCCATGGCACAAATGATCCCCTTGTTGAACAAAACCCATTCAAGTGAACAGTGCTGCTCTGAAAGTGCCCCACAACCATGTGCAAAGCACACAATTGGCATGCGCTAAGGTGGAGTTAAAGCAGGCAGTCAGGAGGCAATATGCCTCCTTGCCAACTGCCACCTGATGTATAAAGAGTGATCCAAATACTGATTGCTTTTCAGAGGGCAAAGCACATGTGAATGAGTCATTAATTTTTGTAATGATTAATTTAGATATGTATTTTTTAAACTTTTTTTTATAATTGTATTTTTTTATTTGCATTTTTAACTGCCCTTTGGGGGGGGGGGGGTTGTTAAAATATCAGGGGTCTAAACAAACCCTATGATGTCTCACATTTGAGACTGAGACAGGGACTGAGGACATCCATTCATCAAGTCCCTTTCTCTGCAGCCTCAGCTGTACAGATGAATAAATATTTAACACCACCCCCTTGCTATCAATCCTGAGACATCCTTCAGCAGCTGCTGGTTGGAAAGAGAAGGAAGGAACCCAGAAGTGCTGCTGGGAAAGGGCACACAGGAGGGCCTGGATTGCAGGGGTTGTGGAGGCACACATACTAGAACCAACCTCACGGCAGCGTAGCAAGAGGGAGAAATAGGAATTTGAAGCTGTCATCTCTAAATGGGGAGGCAGAAGAAGATTGATGTCAGCAATAAGGCTGTACAGCTGTGCCTCCTGCTTGGCAGATGCCCGGACCCCCCATTTGAACTTATGGAGCACAGGCCCGGTACAGGAGGGTACTGCCTTATCAGCTGTCCTCACTGTGGAAGACCCGGATCAACACTGCTGGAAGTGTCCATTTCAAAAGAAACTTCACTCAGCTTTCAATAGAACTTTCGGTTTGGAAACAGGGTTCCAGCCTGTATTCCATGCTATATTTTAGACTTTGATTGAAATGTACTGTACATTTCAAGTTGACCAAGAAAAAGAATGTAATTCTGCTTCAGTGAATGAGTCATGCTACAAGTAAAAGGGAAGTATTACTTCTATTACCATGTTTTCTTGGTCTTTGTTTTTAAAATGAGGTTCGCTTTTGCCCTGGTTCACATCTGTGTGGTTGTGTGGGCTGCGATTTATACTCCCATGCCCCGGGACACGCAGGGAAGAATTCCATACAATACTTTGGATATCACAGCCAGCACCGGAACCGAGGTTCCCAGTACGGTTGAGATTTTAAGTGCCGGTGGTGTGCTATTAGAATTAATGCCACCCACCTGCGGGTCCCGCATTCCTCTGTGTGGGTGGTGCAGGTAATTGTGCAGGTCCTGCAGCAGAACCACCCACACAGATGTGAACCAGGAGTTACATGATATTGTGGTACTGCTCTACATTAAACTGAGTTGCTTGCTTTAAAACAAATTGAAACATTAAACATTTAGGAAGTAAAGAACCAAAGAGTTATGGGTTTTTGAATGCAGAATATGGTTTTTCCTGATATGAAAGATGGCAAAAATCCAAGAAAAGGCACCAACAGAAGGATTAACTGTGATACTCATTTAAGAATATTTGTTCCTTAGACCACTTATTACACCAATGGCAGTATCACCATGGTGGATTTAACTGGTATGTTCTGGTTTGCTCAAATTTAGTGTATTGTGTGATAAATCTGTATTTATAGTAAGTGCTAGTAGCAACTAGACAAATGCATAGCATCAGGGTTCAGATTTTCAAATTAGTCTCAAAAACATTTGCTTATGTTACTGCCTTGTTTCATTAAAGCAGCAGTGTACCTTAGAGAGGCATAGACATATACAGTTGCAAGAAAAAGTATGTGAACCCCTTGGGATTACATGGAGTTTAGCATGAATTGGGCATAAAATGTGCTCTGAATGTCATCTAAGTCACAACAATAGAAGAACACAGTCTGCTGAACATAATACTACACACAAACATTAGATGTTGCCATGGTTTAATTGCACAGAACATGTAAACATTCACAGTGCAGGGAGGAAAAAGTATGTGAAGCCCTAGCTTAATGACTTCTCCCAGAGCTAATTGGAGCCAGGAGTGAGCCAACCTTGACTCCAATCAGTGTGATGATATTGGATGTGTTGCTGACAGCTGTCCTGCCCTTAAAAAAACATACACCTGTTTTGGGTTTACTGGTTTCAAGAAGCACTGTCTGATGTGGACCATGCCTCGCAGAAAAGAGCTATCAGAAGACCTACGATCAAGAATTGTTGACTTGCATGAAGCTGGAAAGGGTTACAAAAGTATCTCCAAAAGCCTTGATGTTCATGTGTCCACGGTAAGACAGACTGTCTACAAATGGAGAAAGTTTAGCACTGTTGCTACTCTCCCTAGGCGTGGTCGTCCTGTAAAAATGACTGCAAGAGCACAGCGCAGAATGCTGCATGAGGTAAAGAAGAATCCCAGAGTGTCAGCTAAAGACCTACAGAAATCTCTGGCACATGCTAACATTTTTGTTGACACATCTACAATAAGGAAAACATTAAACAAGAATGGAGTACATGGGAGGACACCACGGAGGAAGCCATTGCTGTCCAAAAAGAATATTGCAGCACGTTTGAAGTTTGCAAAGTTTGCAAAAGAGCACCTGGATGTTCCACAGCACTACTGGCAAAATATACTGTGGATAGATGAAACCAAGATTGAGTTGTTTGGGAAGAACACACAACACTATGTGTGGAGAAAAAAAGGCACAGCACACAAACATCAAAACCTCATCCCCACTGTAAAACATGGCGGAGGGAGCATCATGGTTTGGGGCTGCTTTGCTGCCTCAGGGCCTGGATGGATTGTTGTCATTGATGGGAAAATGAATTCCAGAGTTTATCAAGACATTTTGCAGGAAAACGTACGACCATCTGTCCGCCAACTGAAGCTCTGCAGAGGATGGGTGATGCAACAGGACAATGACCCAAAGCATACAAGTAATTCAACAAAACAATGGCTGCAACAGCACAGAATACGCCTTCTGGAGTGGCCCAGTCAGAGTCCTGACCTCAACCCGATTGAAATGCTGTGGCATGACCTAAAGAGAGCGATTCACACCAAACATCCCAAGAATATTGCTACACTGAAACAGTTTGTGAAGAGGAGTGGTCCAAAATTACTCCAGATCGTTGTGCAGGTCTGATCTGCAACTACAGGAAACGCTTGGTTGAGGTTATTGCTGCCGAAGGAGGGTCAACCAGTTATTAAGTCCAAAGGTTCACATACTTTTTCCTCCCTGCACTGTGAATGTTTACATGTTATGTGCAATTAAACCATGGCAACATCTAATGTTTGTGTAGTATTATGTTCAGCAGACTGTGTTCTTCTATTGTTTGACTTAGATGACGTTCAGAGCACATTTTATGCCCAATTCATGCAAAACTCCACGTAATCCAAAGGGGTTCACATACTTTTTCTTGCAACTGTATACAGTATTTGCTTTTGCTCGTATTGATAATGCTTCTGGACACACTGTTAAAAAACCTTCAGATTTTTTTTTCTGAAATATTAGTGTGGATTCAATTTACAGTAACTGTTTCTCAAACACAAGTTCTCATTCAAATGTCACAATGTTATAGGAGTGAAGTAAACAGATTTTCAGCATTGTACAATATGTATCAATGACCGTTATATTACCTTTCCACTTTACAGTACTTAATAACTTGCATAATGGGAGACTGCACATTCACACACCAGGACATAAAATAACTTTAATATCTAACACTATTGTTAAAAGATTGCATGAAACTTCTGAACTATGCATGCCCAACTGCTGGCCTATTGCACAAATATAACCTAAAACAGAATCTTCTATCCATCTGTTTCTGGCTTTTTATTCATCATCAGTAGAAATTCCTTATAATATATTGTATATATGAATATTTATATATATATATATATATATATATATATATATATATACTCACTGGCCATTTTATTAGGTACACCTTGCTAGTGCCAAGAAAATATCCCCCACACCGTTAGACCATCACCTCCAGCCTGAACCGTTGATACAAGGCAGGATGGATCCATGCTTTCATGTTGTTTACTCAAAATTTTGACCCTACCATCTGAATGTCACAGCAATCAGTCTGCCCATTCTTTCTGACATCAACAAGGCATTTTTATCCTCACAACTGCTGCTCAGTGGATATTTTCTCTTTTTTTGATCATTCTCTGTAAATCCTAGAGATGGTTGAGTGTTAAAATCCCAGTAGATCAGCAGTATATGAAATACTCAGACCAGCCCGTCTTGCACTAACAACCATGTCATGTTCAAAGTCACTTAAATTTCCTTTCTTCCCCATTCTGATGCTCGGTTTGAACTTCAGAAAGTCATCTCCATCACATCTACATGCCTAAATGAGTTGCTGCATTGTGATTGGCTGATTAACAATTTGTGTTACCAAGCAATTAAACAGGTATACCTAATAAAGTATA